CACAAACACAATACTTCATTAGTGTTGGCATTTCATAGGATTTGTCGACAATATGAAAAATCTAGAATATCGCCAGACTGCTGAACAGGGCATGACAACATGTAATGTAAACAGCCATACGGGGCAGGGGTGATAAAACAAATAGGATAACTAGGCAACAGAGAAAGACTTTCACTGCTCGTGGACATTTTTCTTGTAGTTAACTTTTCCTTGACCTTACCGAGACCGTTGACAGAACAAAGCAGAACAACTGCGATAATGGTCTGTTTTTTCTCCGTCGTATCTCTACAGGCACCCCCCCCCCCAATCCAGCTCCAGCCAAGCTTCCCCAGACCGTGGTGGTGCGGTTCTTCTAAACGAGTTTAGCCTTTATTAGTCTGTCAGAGGGGGAAAAAACATTGTTTCCCCCAGTAGCAGGTCGAGATATTATTCATCTATAATTGGTAATAACCCCACACCCCCACCCTGAGGCGGCTCAATCTCCACTGAGTAATCACTGCCATCGCCTGCTCTGCTGGAAACAGCATTATTAGGTCGACGGCACTGTCTCTACCTCTGCCGTCTGCCAAGGTTTATTATCTGACAATATATGGCTTTACTCCTGTGCTTTGTTTAAAACCCACAGACTGTGGAGGGAGAATCTGGCTGGGCACATTTATCTCGCACCCAAAGCTACACCCAAATATCTCTGCACGCTGGACAGCGGAGGCTCCAAAATAAGCCCCAGTGGGATCATTTAGGCTGAGGCTTTATCAGTTTTGCTCTGTTGTGCAAAACACCTTTCAGTTTTCAATAGTTACTACTGTCAGCTACCACTGTTAGTACTGTCACCTCAGTTCACATGACTCCCTGTCTCAGTACTTGTGTTTATGTAGTGAAGATTTACATGAGAACGCAGCTGAAATTCAGACCAATTAAAAAGTGAGACAGATATAGGGCTGCAACTAATAATTATTTTCAATTCAGAGCCAAAACATGATGGGTATATAATTTTTATAAATATTTAGTTTAAAAAAAAATAAAGATGTATTCACATTGCTCACTTTATCTGACCAATAGCCAAAAATATCATGTGACAAAAGCATAAAACCTTCACATCTAAGATGCATCCCTATTAAGCCCACTTTCTACTTTGTAAGTCAAATAAAAAATTTAATACACTACATTTTCCTTTTTGGGTGTATGATGTTTCTTCCAAATAAGCTGCTTGTTACATAAATGACACCTTTTACTGTAAGCCAATCAGATTTGTCGATACTGAGTTATTAAAGAAGTGCCTGCTGATCCCGGAAAAAAAATAACGTAGATAACATTTTAGATTAAGGTAACATGTTTTTCATATTTAGTACAAATGCTTAAATAATTTAAGTGAGAATATTACTTGAAATATTGTTTCTTTTGAAGTCAAAATATGAGTTTTAGGATGCTGGCAGACTGACATGCAATGACATAAAGCATGATAAGTATGGAGTGTACATATTTATATATAGTTTATATTATACTGTAGACAATAAAAGTTTACGTTTATTGTCTCCTCAAAATGAGACATGTTTTTATTTATTTATCTATTTCAAATGCCATTTACAGGCCACAGGATAGGAGTGGGGACAAAATGAAAAAAAGCTATTGAGAGCTAAGAGATTACACTTTTGAATGGAAAAAATTGTATTGTTAAGATTTTAAAAAGTATTCATCAACAAAGCTTATTTGGAACCCACATGGACTTTTAAGCGTATGTTAAGTACCCATTAAGCCCATACTAGACTTCTGAAATATTAAATATTAGAAATTGGTGTAACTGAATTGTTGACACTTCAAATGAGAGCTTGACTTTAATTTTACCTAAAAAGGGGAATATATATATATATATAAAAAAAAATGTGTTAACTCTACTTTTTGTCACAATCCTTCCAAACAGAAAATATTTGCAAAGTTGAAAAGCAGCCATAAGATCATGACAGAGTGATCGAGTAACTGAGTGAAAGAGACAGTGCGAAAGAGAAAGTGACCTTGCTGCTGCTTAGAGCAGACTAATATTTCATCAGCTAACACTAAGGGCACACCTGCCTCACAGCTATGCTCAGGATCCCACATCTGCCAACGGCTCTGTGCTTCATCCCTGTGAGGAGGCGTCAGGGGAGGGAAGGAAGGAAGAAAGGGGGAAATAAAAGACAGAAAGCAAGACAGTCTCACGTGGGTTTACTCTGAGACAGACTCATTTCAGGAAAAGTGTAGGTTGGCTTTGAACAGGCAAATCACAAAGAAGATAGTGAAATTATATTGTGACAAAGATGGGAAAAGCAATAGAGTGATGGAAAGAAATGATAGCGATAAACCACCTACCAAATTGTATATTTTAGTTTGCCGCTGGAGTTACCCCTGTGGCTACTTTCAATACCTAACATGGGACACATATCAAGCCAACGCTCTCTCCCCATCACCAGGCGACTGGATCCACAACTGTATAAAAGTGAATTATCCAAAGCTTAGAAGGGAAGGAAGGGGCATCATGTGCTCAAGACAATGCTATCCTGCAGCAGGAGAAGTGAAACCGTATAAGTGGATGCTCTCAACATGCTGATCCATTCAACATCTCAGATGAAGTCATTCACTTCTCCAAGTCTAGGTTACACTGACATGCAAGCCGCTAACCATAAGCTGCTACAGCATGCTAACTGATGATGTTAGTTCAACTTGTTGCTAAGCAAACTGTGTTGTACGAATCTGTTTGAGGGAGTGTGTGGGCGCCTAGATAATTTTGACTACATGAGATCATGGAGATCAACCACACATGACAGATGTGTTGATTACAGAGTGTTGACGACAGGGACAGTAAAAACATTTATTAGTCAGGATGAGAAAATATATAAACCATTACATCAACCTCTTCATTGTCGATCCAGTTGGTAAACAAGTATCTCTATAAACAGCTGCTTAGGTAACAGGACAACAATATAACAATAATTAAACAAGTAATAATTATTTCCCCATTGTCTCTCTGTATTTTTAGCTGTACAGTCGATCTCCTGGGAACTTACATAGCACCAACAAGATTTTGCGGCGCTAATGTCAACGTGCTAGCATGCTCATAATGACAAGGCTAATATGCTGATGTTGAGCTGATAATGTTCACCATGCTAGCATTTGCTAAATAGCACTAAAGTGATGTGAAGTACAGTTAAGGCTGAAGGGAATGCCATTACTTTTGCAGGAAAATGGTCATAAAAATAAAGTATTGGAAATGTTAAAATGTTGACGTCATGGTGGCGAAAATATTTAGAGGACCACCAAAGTTATTACAATTGATCCTGAAAGGGATGTGGATGTGTGTACAATATTTCATGGCAAACCATCCAATACACACTGAACCAAAAATCACAACCTGATGGTGGCATTAGAGGAAAAGTCAGGGATTACCCAAGTCATTAGGAGTCATCCTCTGGGGGCTGCGAATGTTTGTACAAAATGTTATGCTAATCCATTCAGGACTTGTTGAGATATTGCAGTCTGGACCGGTTTCCAGTAACATCCCTTCAACAAAGGAACAACTAATTTCAGTATGTTGCAAAGCTTTAGCCTCTACCATCACATATAATATCCTGGCACCTGTTTCCATAACCTCATCCTCATCCTCTTCTGTGTTATCTCCAGGTTTCAGTCCAACACTGAAATAAATTAATTCATTCTATATCTGCAGTGCAAACAACAACAAAGCCCCACTGTCTGCCCGATAAGATTTTCTTCTAGGTGTGCTGTTAAGCCACTGGGATGTCAGTTTCTATAGGATCGACCTTTGACCTGGCGTTATACAGCGCTGGAGCAAATATAAACAGCCCCTCCCCTCGTTCTCCTTCATACCATCAAATGGCCAGCACAAAGGAAAAGCTGACCTTAACTGTTCTGGAAGAGTTCACGAGAGTCTGTGCACACACACAAACACAAACACAAACACACACTGGGATAGTCAGTACCAGAACAGCCCACCTTCCAACTAACCTCGGGAAAAAAAATCCCTGAGCTTTCATCTGCATGCAGCTGCCTTGGTGAAGAACATAACTGAGGCGAGGACAGGCAGTGGGAAAAAACATGGACAGATAGTGGAAGATGAAAAAAAAAAAATAAAAATTTAAACAGAAAGAAAAGCACATTCAACTGACCGGAGTAAAACAAAGGGCTATCTGTAAACGCCATGGACTTCATCCCGCCCTGTGATGAGAAAACTTCGATCCCCAGGCAGGCAGGCTGCAGAGAGCTACAAAACCCTGATGTTGCCTGTTAAGCTCCCACTTCGATTCAGCTCATTGAGCTCCATGCTGCTGATCAATTAGAGAACAGCTGAACCAGCTGCTGACCACGCAAACATTCTGTTTTTTTACTGTTTTTAAGCACAGATGGTTTTATCATGTGTGCTGCCTGTTATCTAGGTCTTCTCTCTACAGTTTGGTTGCAGAGGCAACCCCACCCCAACCCTCCCGCCATGTCACAATAGGATACTACAGTTTAAATGTTAGCATGCTGGCTTATCTGGACCCATCTGCATGAGCCAGGTCGCAACATGTATGATGGAATAAAAAAAAACAAATATGCTCTGGATTTTCTTTCCCTTTAACCGGAGGTCAGGACAGGCAGACAGTCACTGTTCAGATAGACAGCTGACCAACAACACACAATCGGGTCTTTAAATATTTAACAGACGCATGCAACCAAAAACACCATCATATCAGCAACAGCCATTAGCTTCCATCCACACTTTCCTCAACTAGCTGCCAAAATAGGTACAGGATATATCCTTATTTTCCAAATGACCGCTGTTTTCCAGTGGTGCTGCCAGCAGTGGTGTGTAGAGAAAGTGTCAACATGGAAATGTTCCTTATAGGTGACTTCAGCTTACCTTACACATATAGTTGAGCCCAGTCACTTTAGAGGGTATGAAAGGGGCTATACAAGCACACAGCATCATAACACACTGTGACACATTTTCCTCTGTGTGAGAGACTCACCCATCCTCCTTGGCTCTGGATCCAGAACTGAATGTGGTTGTCCAGGTAGACCGTCATCCACTCTATGATCCTGCCCACCAGCGGACTCATCTCCTTCTCCACGCACTCCACACACAGCGCCCCGCCGAATGCAAAAAGCCCTACGATGCGGCCCCAGTTGACTCCGTCCCGGAAAACCTCATCCATCACGCTCTCGAAGCTTTGGTAGGCGGTGGCCGGCGTGATGTGGAGCTGGTTGTGCAGATCGCTGAAGGCGCGGGCGTATCGCTGCTCAAACTCGTTGGCCGAGTCCCGGAGAGCTTCTTTCACCGCGTCCAGGTTCGTCGTGGATGGCAACTGTTGCTCCCGTAGCGGGGACGCTGGTGGGGTCCCGGGACTCATGCCGTTAAAAGTCCCGTTGGTGTGCGTCGCTACCCGCTGTTCCTCACCCAACCCTGCCTCCCCACCATCAGTCCTGTTCGGAGGCTCTATGAGTCCCATGTGGTTGAGGGGATAATTTCTCTGGGAGAGTTTATAGTTTATGTAGTAAACCACCAGTTCTCTGTTTTGAGACATTTTGAGTTTAAATATGCCTTTTCTCTTTGCTCCGGTCCGCCTCTGCGCTTCTCTTCTCTTGCCTTGCTGTGTTTGAGTGAACACAAACTGTGCCGGGTTTTCTCCCTGCGTTTCCTCTGTTCAGACCACCATGGTCAGCTGACATCCAGAGGACCAAACCAAAACTACACAAGGCTGACAAATCAGCTCAGGCCCTGTAGAGAGACAACAATGAAAGGTCAAAGTCTGGATAGCCTATAAGCATGCTGTGATCATATATGTGTGTATGTGTGAGGAAAGAGGGGTGTACGGGGATGGCTGTAGACTTCCAAATTAAATTTGGACAGGAAGGGTCAAAGTGCATCTCTCTAATTGGGCTGTTACATATGGAGCAGATGGCAATGATATTAATGAAACAATAGTGAAGTGAGTGTGCGAGAGAGAGAGAGAGAGAGATGACAAAGGACAGTGAGAGAGACAAAGGGAGGGAGTGAGGAAGGTGAGGTTTAGGTGAGATCAGAGGATCAGTCTGGCTTGAAGATCCACTCAGGTAATCGCCATCTCCTTATCAGTGCCCTCTGAACTTCAGTCTGAGCTTTCAGGCACCTTGATGATCTCAGCTCCCGGCTGTCTGTTACTTACAGGATGATCTGCATGCTACTCAAGCATGCCCTTGAATCTCCATACCAAAAAAAAAGACTTTCCCCTGATATTTCCAGCATCAAACAAGTTATTATCTCACCATTGGTGTTGGAGGTTGGTCTGAATGCACAAATACATTATCACTGCTTCCATTCTGGGATTATTATAAGATAACTAAAAAAAAAAAAACTGATTTGCAATTTCAATATTTTTCTTTTCTACGATATTTATATAATTATTTATTAAAATAACTTCAATTGCTCTGTTTTAAAAGAATTCAGCATCACAGTATTATTGGGGTCATTTTGTAGGGGAATAAAAATAAATAAGCTTTTTAGTCTTGGGACTTTTTTTAAAAGCGCATCCCATCCTTTTTTGAGCTTTAATGCAATAAACATATTTAAAAACTAAATGTTAAAAAGAAAAGAGCAGCTATACACCAGCCCCCTCTTTTTGCAACCAAATCCACTGTTTCGGTGGTTTTCTCCTGTTCCTCACTCATTTGCAAGTAGTTGTGGACAACCAACGGGGGCGGGGCCCGCTTTGTCTTGATAAACTGATCAAGAACAATATTGTGATTGGTGGTTCACTGTGCATGCAAAGCCTGTGACGCATTAGCAATAGTCACATCACAGGATGATGCTGAAACCATATATTGTGCAGCTCTAATTACTATAACCTTATAGATGACGACCAAATAAAGAAATCCAATAAAGTTCAACTACTTCGCTGGCAATGTCATTGAATTTCCTGTGTGTACAATGCAGTGAACTCTTAATGACCTCAAAGTCGGAACTCTGTTAGCAAACATAGTTTACAAAAGTTTGAGCTTACATCACGGGTAATTACATTAGTCTTGTGTTAAAATGACACACAGGGAGTAACCCTTATTAGCACTCAAGGGTCAAATTCAGGCGGTTGGTGATGGTAAAATAAAGCTTCATATCCATATCTACAAATTCATTCTTATTACAGCTGCAATGATTAGTCGATTCAGTTCTCAGTCCAATAAAGTTGACAATGAAATCGGCAACTATTTTGACAATCGGTTAGTCTGTCATTTTTTAAGCAGAAATTAAAAACTCTTTGTTTCCAGCTTCATACACTGTGAGGATTTGATGCTTTTCTTTGCCGTGAAGTAAATATCTTTGGGTTTTAAAATGAAAGATATCTCCTTGGGGTGTGGGAAATTATGACACTATATGCATTTTTTAATAAAACTGTTAATAGAGAAAATAATCTGTAGATGAATCAATTCAGAAATGAACTGTTAGTTGCAGCCCTAATTTGAAAGGTATTATTTTATTTTATTAATTAGCAGTTATATTCAATTTGTGCATCAACACAATTCTCCGTCTGCCCTCTGACACTGTCTAAACTATTCTAGTGTTCAGCCCAGCGATATATTGATTAATAAATAATTGGTGCACTAATGTTTTTGGTTAACGATCATTATAAAAAGGGAAACAACCATTTTCCTTACAAAACATATTTCCACAGGTTTAATATTATTACTGTGATGTATGGTAAAAACGTACTTCATTAAAGATTTACGTCAGGAAGCTTCAGCCAGTAGATTGAGTTTAAGAGGGCCTCCATCTCCGAAACAAAAGACAATCTGGGAGAGCAGCTGTCTGACAAAGGCTTTTCCTCATCTTCCATTGTCAATCATAATTCTCCCGTAATCTCGCCATTAAGTGGTACAGGCTACAGGCATACAGGCACACGCAATGATGTGGGAGGAACCTGACCTGCTGATGATCCCAAACTGGTCTGCTGGTTATCAGGTGCGAACCTGACCTTTCCCATAACAATACTGACATTTAAGCTGATAAGTGGTGGACTTAATAATTAGTGTGTGGGGTGGCTGGAAGAGTAGCTCCATGCAAATATTGCTGATGACATTACATAAGTACTCTTCCCCAAAGCACAATGGAAGCGCGATATGGTCTCTCTACTGGCTCCTGGAGAAACACACAAGTCCGAGTGCTGTAGTTTCATCAAGCGCCCCAAAACTTCAACTTCTTACAAACACACTTTCAGCACACTATTTCTGCCATAATCCTGGTGAAAGTCACAGAGCAGCACATAAAGACCCACAAGGCAGCAGTGTTTACAATGGCCACATGGTCCCAAGCTGCTAACACGTGGCTCGGGTTTTAATTGCCCAGCGCTGATGTAAACACCACAGAGCTCCTACCGGAGACGCAACGAAATGTGGCACCTGAACGCAACATTTGTAATCGCTCAACTATTAACTAAAATAAAGTAAAACTGAAGCCTGTTCCCCGTGTTTATTACGGTGGAATCTGGATTGTAACTTCCACATAAACCAACCAGGGTAAGGTTACGTTAGCGATACTGCGCTGCCTCTGTAGGCTGCTGGTCGTGTGAGCCCCATCTGTGTTTCGAGGCAAACCTCCAGATTAAACATGAATTCACATTTCCATTTTGATCGCCCTCACAAATATCAAGACTGTACAAGAGATGATGGCTAATATTAGTGTCTTACCAGCAGTGCTGAATAAAATCAAATGGAGTTATCCTCGGTTCGTTCACCGCTTCCCCTCAGTCACAATGTCCCAAATCTGTCACTCTGTCGCTCCGTCTGTACAAAAGCTGTCAAAATCCAAGAACGTAAGATAGCCACTTTGTGTACGGGAGTGTGTGCGCTTGCACGTATTCTCTTACCTCTCTCCCCCCTCAGCTCTTTGCATGCTCAGCCCTCCCTCTATTACGTAACAGGGCGCCTTCAGGGAATAGGACTCACGATCATTCGAGACTCTTCGTTCATACTGGGCCTTTTAAACCCAGGACTACAAACACACATGATAAAACAATCTAACCGCGAGAGGAAAAGATAGTGTTTCCTGTTCCTGCGCAGCAAGCAGTGTGAAGATAAAATCAGTTAATTTCTCGATTCTGTGTGCACAACTAGTCACTCTTTGTTCACATTTTATCTGTCACAGAGCTTATTCTGTTCATTACATTGGCTTCAAAATATAAATGACAGGACTGGCGCACTTCTCTCTTCCAGCGTGTCACTGCGGCGCAATTGAGCTCCGGGACTCGTTGCGTTAGTCTAACATTTTGGTATTTCTAATCACAAGCTCACCTCACGAATTGAATTCACCTGCAGTGGATGAACGGGCTCAGTAGGAGCTCCTGCAGGCAGCACAGGCCAATCCCTTCTCCGGTCATAAAAACAGGACCGAGACCTTTAATCACATAAAAATGCGCTTCGCAACACCACCCTGTGCTCCAGCTCTAAATACACTTCATCACACTAGCAATCAGTATTGCAAAACTAAGTCTTGAAGCATTTCAGACAGACACAGCTCCGCCTATTAACGTGACTGTAGGAGGCTAACCTTGCTGAAGATGGCTGTCACTGTCATATACACACAGGATAGGTGAAGTCGCACATCCCACTGTAAACACAGAAAGGTGTATTTACAGTGGCAAAACCCTTTACTGCAGTTTGCAAGTATTCTTTGCATGGAACAGAATGACAATTGACGGAAAACGCTAGCAGGAAAGGAAACGATGGTAACGCAGTCTCCCAAATCCGTCGGCCCCCCTTCTTCCTCCAAATTGCTGGATTCACAGAGGAAAATCCAGCCTGTCTGACATTCTTTCACCAATAATTTCACTACAGACATTAGATATACAACCGTAGACTGGCCAGAAACTCTTACTTGTAGGGTGGGCTCCATAAAATCATGTCTGGCTCACAATCCAGACCCCGGCAGGAATACTCCAATCCGTCATTGCTTTCCGGTCTGGCTAACGCCGACGGAGGATACTCAGCCAGCTAACTGGCTACCACAGATCCGCCCACTACTGCGCTCTCTACGTAACTCTACGTAAAGTCTGCTTAGTCCAGGTCCATCGGCCAGATAGATAGATACCTGCTTCATCCAGAGAGAAGAGTAACAGACGCGGTAGGGAGAACTTTGTAGTCTCCCCTCCAGAAAGTGGTCACTTCTTGGCTTAAATATGAGACCTATCTGGACCGGATAGCGTCAGCGCTAACTGTGCTAACCAAAAGTGAGCTAGTTTATGTTCGCCGGGGCATCGCGTCGGTCCGACCACTATATTTAATAATTTAAATTTGATGGCTGAGTGCAACTACCACGTTCCTCGTTGTTAGCATATCTAGTTACTGGTTTAGGGATTAATAACGTGGTGTTTTTTTCTTTAACAGCTCCATGTAGCAGCTGCTAAGCAGCTTTCCACCTTACTTGCCAAAACAAAGGATGTGAGGTTTCCATGGTGAGCTTTGTTACACAGTCTATAGTTACCCCGCAAATCCAGCGCGCTTTAGGTCGACTTACTACTTAGAGCCCAGTGCCACCCTATGGACGTCTTTATATAGACACACTGGAAACCCCTCTTCCACGCTTTCAACTCTCATAACTAAATTAACAAAGAAATGACTTATTTTAAACGTAAATATGAGGGTCAGCGAGTCGGACCGATGGTTAAAGAGGCCGCCGCGTTCCCACGTAAAGGCATCAGGAAACATGCAGGGGTAACAAATCACGTTTTGTCCCGTCACTCAAAAATAACTACCAATATTAATGACGGATCCATTCTGTTCATTTGCCCCAGTATACCAGACCAGCACCACAGACCTGGGCACTTTGATAATGCAGCAAATATGTTCATGTTATAAGTAACACCTGTTTTTATCATGTAACAACTAAACCAGTTAATTTAAAACCGAATCAGTAGTCACTGTAGTGGATCAGAATTCAGGTTTATTGATTACTTCACCAAATGCTTGGAAGATTACATCACAATATTATGTATAGAACCGTATAGCACTTTCATTTCTATGTATCTTACATTGAAAACTTTACAGTCTGCATTTCTTCATTTACTGTATATATATATTTATATATTCCCTAGCTTTAGGGAAGAAAAGTAGACATCCATAGTTGCAAGGGAAGGAATGCTTCTCAAAATATATTTAAATGCACTTTAAATAATTACATACATCCTTCTTTTTTTAAAAAAAGGCATGGAATAAACTATGAAGGATCCAGGATGCAGAGGCGCCGGTATCTCTGTAGATGCCAGTTTTGGTTTCGCTCCATTCCTGAACCTTTCTGTGGTTGAACTCTGCAACACTGATGGGCACTCGAACCATTCAGAGCAAGTTGGTACACTGGGCTGTGTTAATACATGAGCAAAACTGTCAGCAACAGATGTGCAAAAGAGTGTGGGGAAATAGACAACCACTGTGTCATCTTCTAGGGCCAATTGATAGATTAGTGGAGGGTTTATGAACCAGCTGGAATTATAAAGCCAGGATGACTGACTCTATGTTAAGTCCTTCAGTTGTAAGGCTTACTGGGTCAACACATAAAGGAATGCAGAGGGAAGTAGCCAGTCTTTCAATCAACCTTTCATTGTAAACCAGCAATTATCCTGAACAATAATCACAAAACAAATTAAAGCAGGTGACCAAAATAAATAAGTAAAATCTCACTGACAGGAAAGAATTACAGGACGGTAATGTGACAGGGAGCAGAGACTTCACAAACAAAGCCGCATTAGATCTTTGATAGTGTTGTAAGAGATGCAGATGGTTTTCACCTGCAGCTGAGAGTTTCAGTCTCAACAACCCGCTACAGAATAACACAAACATAAGACGGAACATAAACATTAAGGTGACAGACAATGATTTAAGACGGGCGTTGATACATCAGGGTTCAGATATTACAACATATTTTGATTAGATCACCAAACTCACAAGAAGGGTGACACTGATGGTGTCATCATTTTATAACAGGCACAGGCGGCCAAAATAGATGTTTGCAAAGGGAAAATATAAGGTTCATCAAATTCAGTGGTGTCTTTAATTTGCTTTAAGCATGTATATAGACTTTTTTGTTAAGTATTAAAAAAACAAACAGAAAAACAATCCATCAGGTACAGGGGTTTGCAACAATATCAATAAATTATTTGTTTACGGTTCTTTTCTAGTCATTACTGTTTGAGATGAGAGTCTGGGGGATGATGAATGACTACAGTCAGCAGAGAGCGCTGGTCACAGTGCTGTTCATCCCCGAGAGAAAGAAGGGAGGAAGGGCAGGGTAGAGGACTTTCCTACAAGCTGTAGAAAAGCTGAACACTTTAATGCAGAGTCCTGATCTGAGACAGAAAAGCTACAGTCTTTGTCGTCTTCCTCCTAAAATTGCAGCCCCCTCTGTAATCTGCTCCAGTCTCTTATGTGTCCAACTGTCAATTTACTTGTCACCGTCATCTCAACATCTTCACCGTCCCTCCACCTGACCCTGCACCCACCCTAGGATGTGGGAGTCCGGGCAGACGCTCCCTCGGGCGCAGCGATGTGGAAGACGGAGCCGATGCGCAGGAAGAAGCGCCTGAGGACGGCCCGCAGCTCAGGGATCAGGTCAAACTGCATCATTTCACACAGGTGGGGGTAGTAGCAGGAAGCATGGGGCTTGAACTGGAAAAGAAGGAGAAAATAAGAAAAGGTAAATCACCACCACCATCTAATCCCTGCTAACTAAGTATTTGCCAAATTTGTAAATATAGTATATACAATATACAGAACATGACAAACAGGAAGGGTGTTGGATGTGTGTCTTCACTGATGTATGTTTTTGCTGTATTTTGCTGCTTTTAAGAGCAATTTTATTGATTTACGAAATTTACATTCAGGCAAATAAACACAATTTGTAGCACTAAGATTTGTTTTACCCAAAATTCACAGCAGGCCTTGCAGCGAATGCCAACCACTTTAACAATACTGTAATAATCTTTGTTGATGCAGTGGTTTTGTGGGGTTGGCATTTTCTTCCAAGGCTGGCTGCATGGCGCCAACATTTCCTACTGCTTCAAGCTGCATGCTGGCAACAACAAAATTCTACAGTTTGGCCTAAAATGCCCTGGAAAAACCCCAAGTCACGGGCCAGGCTGTGACTCACAGTGCACGATTCATAGGTGACAGAAAAATATGAAGTAACTAGGACAAGAGTTTGATCATTTCAAACTCTTGTCCTTTATATACTCATCAAGTACAAGTGTGTGTTTCATGTTTTTATATCCCGGTGGGGACTAACCTGAATGCACACTAAGCCACAGGGAATCGTGTCACATGAGACAAAAAAAATGAGGTCCCCATGGGTAGATTGCTTTTTGAGGGTTAAGACTTGGTTTTAGGGTTCAGATTACAATTGGGTTAAGATTAGGGTAATGGTTAAGGTTAGGGTAAGGGACTAGAGAATGCATTATGATGTCCCCAGAGGGACAGAGGAACATACGTGTGAGTGTGAGTGCGAGTGCGTGTGCGTGTGTTCCTACCTTATCATCGGGCAGCCGTAGCGTCCTGGTGAGCAGCAGCATCAGCAGGCTGTTCCAAGCCTCTCTGTGACTCTCTGAGGTCAGACTGATAAAGTAGGCCAGAGCTTCGCTACACACCCTGACAAAGACGACCCACACACACACACACACACACACACACACACACACACACACACACGGAGGATTATGACCAACACAACACAGATATATCTAAAATATTGGATAGGCAGAAGTGTTCAGTCTGAATCAGAGCTGCAATTACAAGTAGAATTGTTATTATTATAGAAGAGAGGGCCACGACTACACATTCTGATCTTATTTAATGTTTAACACCACACATACGTATTCTTGATGTAATACATGAGTCATCTGCTCCATTGCAGCTGCTCAGCGACAAACACAACAAGGTGATTTGTGTCAGTCTCTAGCATGCCAATATATTCTACAAAATACACACACACTGTACTGTGTCATAAATATATAATGAGGTGTGAGCCATGTGTCAAAACCAGCTCACTCAACACAGAACAAACAGCAGCGCTGCACTTTTGTGCAAGTGACACATTTGGTGTTTATTTACAACCAGGCAATAAACACACCGGCAACATGTTGATATAATGGAATAATGAACAACTGCGATAACCCTGTTTTTTTACAATGCATTTTCTGTCCGTTAAATTAGCATTTTCTAAAAGATAAGTCTGTTGATATAGTATATTTTTTTTACACTAAAAC